CATCGAGGGTGAAGAAGGCACAACTATATGTTAGTTTAGTATGTGATTTGGGTGGTTGTATGTATCTATATGATGTACTGGATGAATTCAACCATTCATATCACACTCTCAAATAGTATCTGTGAAACTGCCACTGTTTTAACAACACAAAGAAATATCTAAACACATTTAAAAGCATTTACACCCATAAAAACATTCAACACAAAAAACCCCCAAAAAACCAATTCAAACACGTTTAAAACACCCAAACACTTGAGTCATACCTGATTGGAAGAACGACAGCGGTACTGAAGTGATCATAGTCAGCAGATTGTCGTGTATAACATTACTTGCGCGAACGGTCCCAATTCCATTCAGAACCTGTGTAGGTGAGCATGTGATATGAATGGTAGTACATAAATTCATACTTGTTGGTATAAATGACGTACCATATGATTTAAATGGCAGAACGTAAATTCATAAGCGTTTGTATGAATGACGTGATTTTATCACCCTTGTGATTTTGGTGAACATTGTTAAGGTATCGGATTATACGTCAGGGCTGTACGTAGTAGTGTATATTGCTGGAATATACGCTTACGATTCGCAAACGAACCCGACCACAACCAACCCAGCAAGGAATAGGTCACATATTACCGCGTGTTGTATATATATATATATATATATATATACGTGCGTTTGTGTGTATACAGCACCCATACACCCTCCAGTATCAAGCGAACACCGCAAACCCTAAACCCAAAAGCCCAAAAACTCATACCTGTCTGGCATACGCGCCGATGAACTCTATGACAATAAGACCAGCGTACCATATGACGTACTTCTCTGTAGTACTGCGGTCAATGGTACCGTCTTCGCCCTTGTCCGCCCACACAGACAGTAGGTACAGCTGAACTTCAACGCAGCCAACCTCCACCACTAGACACGCAACTATAAATAGCAGCCAATGAAATCCGTTCGTTCCGGAGACCAAGTGCCAGGCGACGTTGTGGTGTTTCATGAGCGCGAGGAAACCTTCCTCTTCATCGCCCGAGTTGTGCGGCCGTGGGACATCTGAGCAGAAGTTATAAGTAGCACCAGCTCAGGATGAGTCATAGAATACTAAAAAAAAGGAATATAGTACCAAACGAGGCCATGGGAAGTGAAGTTAGAAATAGAACTAAAGTACAATGTGAGAGACCGCATGCAATAGCTCTGCATGGGAATGCTCCCCTGAGATCCCATTGGCCGATGACTAGTATCGTTAACGACAACATAACCAGAACGGATAGGTACAACGCGTTGTAGTACAATCGATCTAGTCTGCTGAAGTGCGGCAACAGATGCACACACACATACACACACACACACAATGACCTTCTATATCCTACGAATTTGTAACTCCTCACTAATTACTAAACTAATATGTCTACTAGACCTAAAGCCATAAACATAAAGCCCTATTGCCCTGAAGCACTAAACAAATATAGTCTTAAAGCCTTGAAGACAAAAAAAACATATATTGTGTCACCAGACACGCTAAGCCTTAAAGTCCTAAACCTAAAGACATAAACCCTTTAACCCAAAGAATTAAGCCTTAAACCTAAAGACATCAACCTAAAGGCTTGAAGCCCTAAACCTAATGCCTTAAAGCCCTAAACCCAAAGACATAAAACCCTAAACCTAAATACTTACAGCCCTAAACCTAAAGACAAAGCCCTAAACATAAAGACTCAAAGTTCTAAACCTAAAGACAAAGCCCTAAATTTAAACCCTCAAAGCCCTAAACCCAAGCCCTTAAAGCAAAAAACCTAAACCTTACAGCCCTCACTAATTTCTAAACCTAACGACTTCAAACCCTAAACCTAAAGCCCTAAACCCTAAAGGCTTGAAGCCCTAAACCTAGTGCCTTCAAGCTTGAAACCCAGACATAAAACCCTAAACCTAAATACTTACAGCCCTAAACCTAAAGCCTTAAACATAAAGACTCAAAGTTCTAAATCTAAAGACTCCAATCCCCAACCCTAAAGACAAAGCCCTAAACCCTCAAAGCCCTAAACCCAAGC